TTCATTTTCTGGGACCACAAAGCCAACAAAAATATTTTCTGCAAACACTGTGAATCTTGTGTTTAAATTTGATCATCACCAAACAAGGTTCAGTGTATTTTATGCACCATTTCATTAGATTTGAAACCAATATAGACGTATTTTACCCTGCTAGCAGTGGTTTCTAGCTGAGCTGAGGAGAAATTAACCACTGCGAGCAAATGAACGATCGTTTCATTGTAGCTGCCGTCCAAATTAATGGACAAATACATTAAATGAGAAACCAGTAAAACAAGTTTGACAGGTTTTTGTTATTGTGCACATGGGTAACTGCTTTGCACTGCTGGTAAAATGCGAGCCAGTTGTAATAAAACAACACGATTACACTCTAAGTATAGTAACTTGAAATTATATATTAAGATGACTTGAAAACCGGCTACAGTTCAACAGAGTAACTATAAATTCACACATTGCAACAAAAATCAACACCTTTTACAGAAATAGTAGCGCAGTCACGACGATCTTTCATCAGTTGAAATTTGTAGCGGTTGAGGTCGCAACAATCAAAAATTGCAATAATTGTCAAAATCAACAGTAATTGGAAACGTTATTATATTATTATTATATTTGGAAACTTTGGAATTGGAATTTATCGAAAATCTTAACACAATCTCCAACATTTAAGTAACACAAATTAAGTTTCCAGACCGAATTAAAAAATTTATATTGATCAGATAAATACAAAAATTTAAAAAGATACAACAGAATTCTAATGCACAATTTGTAGCCATAGGGTGAGGCACCGATTTCAAAATCTTTTAGAAGTAAATTGTGAACTGCATGTAGAATAAAAAGTCAGACAGACAACAAAGAAAACAGTACCTATGCCACGCTTGTTACGTACAGATAACAAACTGTCAAACTACAGCAAATGAAGTCAAATTAGTGTCGTTCCACCCTGTGATCTTTGTGCATGCTCAATAGACAGCTTCATAGATAGCTTCAACCAAGGCTTGGTTTCTATCATCGTCACTCAGTTGATCATGATCGCATTTTGCACCATCATTTCCTTCTTCTGCAATCCACTCATGTTCATTTACAATGTGATGCAATATACTGATCCACTTATCCTATAAGTAGGAACATTTATCACTTATTTACTGAGACCGAGGGAAACAGTGTGTTTTGTGGACCCGAGACCGTCGATGTTTCCCGAGGCGAAGCCGAGGGAAACATCGACGGTCGAGGGTCCACAAAACACACTGTTTCCCTCGGTCTCAGTAAATAAGTGTTTTATTATATATCAATAGTCAAAGAAACAACAAATTATTAAAGAACAAATGAACGTAAATACATGAAATGTTTTATTGTTAAAACGTTATATTAAACACTGGCTACACTGCAGTTACTTAAAGCGAAAGTTTTAATTACGTACTAGGCATGTCCAAAGGTCGCATCTTCACGTGCGCCATTTTTTGTTATTCGCCGGTCGATAACGTATTATCTCCCTCTCGCGCTGTTGCGAGGGAGACAGCCTAATTTCGTCACTCTCACATGATATGCTCTCAACCAATAAAACACTAGAAAAATGCGACTTTGACTATTGATATATAATAAAAATATTTATTACAAGTTACAAAATACTGATGGACATAGCGCTATGGTAAAAATCTCAAATCCAATGGATACTGGATAATTTTCACACTTTGCAAAAATGAAAAAAAAATGGAAATACAGATACAGAGCAAACATAATGTAGATAATGAAAAACTCTATGTTATAATTTAATCTGCATGGTATAAAAATCTCTATCCAAATCCAATAGGTAATGTAATCCCTGAATTTGTTCTAAAACAATAGTGATTTATTTATACTGTAAATATTTAGCAACATGTTTATGTTGCTAAATACTGATTCTTCACCCTTACCTTTATATTCTTGACATCTTTATCACAGTGTTTTGAGCAATACCAAAAATGGTTGCAGACAGAAGATGGTGCCCACAATGCCAGGTCTTCATTTGCTTTGGTTTTGGATGACTAATAATGAATATACAATGTACAGAATATTATGTGATTTGCAAAACATGACAAACCGGTACAAAATTTCTGAATTTTGTTTGATAATTCTAAACTTTGCTGCAAAGATTTGGGACGAAGTTTCTGAATCTTGTTTCTGAAATTCTGTCACCCACACACACGTATTTGTGAACAATTTATTTTATCAGTCATGTTGATGATAGCTAATCAATATACCTTACTTGTATTAAAATTTGTGTCTTACTCATTTTCACTCAGCTTTAAATTTGTGCACCTTGTTGAGACTTATTTGTGCAGCTTTAAATTCGTGCAAGTAATTTTCCATGTTCGTTCTTTTTGGTTTGTTTAATAGAAGAACTATTAACAATTAACACATTTATGAGTATTTTTTATCAACAAATACTTTAAGGTGGTTCCCTACAGTTCTCTACAATTCTAGGTATTTTGAGTAACGTTTGCTCAGGAGAAAAAAGGAAAACAGGAGAAAATCATCATTAAAATCTGCGCGGCCAGCATAAAAAAAATCGACTCGACGTGAGCACGATCTGCGTGTGCGTGTAATTAGCATGTGATTTATAGTGATTTCAAGTTTTGGGCTTACAATACATACGAAAACAGATATTTCTGACTTGTTTGACATGAAAATAAAATATTAATTTTGAAAATACTAATATTAAAAACACTATTATGCATTGTATTAAATCCAGTGTTTCTTTACATTTGTTTTTGTTGTTAAAATCGGTGTGAAAACTTTTCAAAACATCGAACTACAAGTTTAACTTTTCATATAATACAACTCATAACTGTTTTATTTGATTTAGCAGATAAAACGATACATGTGAATTGAATTGATTGACAGGACTTACATAAGTTTTGGCAACAGTTCACTGCTCTTCAAGAGTTAATAACAGAAGACAGTATCATTTCAGTTTGACAGTTTGCAACACAACAAGTTGAAAATTTGGAGCATTATGAAAGACAATGCTGAACGTAAATACATAAAAACACAATAAAAGATAGGTTAAACTAGCTAACAACATACGTACTGTTCGAATTCAGAAAAAAATAGGATTATAATGAAAAACTGGAGCTTTCTTTGTAGATAAAAACGTCAAAAACTTCCTGCAGCTTGTTTCAATATTTTTGCCGAACAGTGAACACAACGACATATGACAACGATTCCATGTGCAGGTCGCGAGGATGAAGTCTGATCTATATAAATCGTATTTTAAACTGTATTAACTGTAGGGAACCACCTTAATATTTGTCAAAATGTAATGAAAAAGCGATTAGGTGCACCCAAAAATGGCTTCAAAATTTGTAAGTAAGCAAAATTTACGATAGATAACAATAAAGTGTGAGTTTAAAATACCAACAAGAACTAAACATTTTCTTAATGCAATAACACAATGCAAATAGTAGTGCAAAGTCAGTTAATAAATCAACTGATTTGCATTTATACTAAAAATGAGTGTCTGATATTACACCACAAAGCTTGGTTAGCACTATTTTCCATCCATCAAACTGACCTAACATCATTTTCACAAGAAAGAAGAGGTGTTAAATGGCTATGTAACTAACCCAAACCCTACCCCAACTCTAACCCTAACCGAATTGATAAAAATTCCAAAAAGAAACTACCTTACAAAATCGATAGGGCGGTTTGCTGGATGGAAAAAAGTGCTAGCCACAAAGCTTTTCGCATGGATTATATTCCGCGCACTACTAAAATGTGCGCACCTAGCACTGCGCGAATTCTAGTACTGCGCGAATTTTAATACAAGTAAGGTATTTATTCCAAACATGTTTTTTATGAAGTGACTTGCAAACCTTGTGCAACCTTATCAGTACCAACTTGCACTAATTTGGTAGGAAACTTCCTATGATGTTCAAACTTCAAATATTGTGATCAATTTTTACATTTATACTGTACACAAACGTACTGCATTGATCTTCTTTGCTAGTGACTTTCTTCTTTGCTGGTGACTTTCCTCCATGCCACACATCATTTTGATGTTTCACATCTTTATTCTTGTCTGATTTTTCTACGAAATGAACACACATGAAGTACAGTAGTTACTACTTACTAGAAATAATTTCATCTAATTTTTTTTCAAATTGGCTGGGCATATTGTTCTTCATTGCTATAGGGCTGGGTAACTGAACTACTAAAGGTACATCTCATAGCTGGGGAAATATTTTATTTAACTCATTAAGCTACAGAGCTTCTCCATTGATGAGTAACATCATCTGGTGTTAGACAGGTAAAAAAAATAAGTAGGGCGCACGCACATTGTAGCTCAATGGGTTAAACAGTCTTATGCATAGGTACTTACTCATAAGTGCTGCAATTTCTAAGTGACCATCAGTTACAACTTCCTTTACTGACATCTGTGATGTAAGCAGCTTATCCATCCCTCTTTCGAAACCAATCCGTTCCATATTGTTGCTCTTTCCAGCAGCTTCCCTAACGTACATGATGTTCATTTGCAATATGGCATGATCTTCCATGTCAGCTAGACTGTATGTGCAGTATTGTGCTGAATGCCCAGGAGAATCATTCCTTCCATCACCACTTAGCACAACATCTTTCCCGGCCTTTTCCTCCCAAAGCTCCTCCTTGTGTTGTTCCCAGAACTCATTCACAGCAGGGGAAATGTACAGACTCTGGTACTGAGTAAACAGTGTTTTAGAAAAATACTGACAGACAACAACAAAGCAGAAGCAAGCATGAGATTCCCAGCTCTTATCTTATCACAACTGGGTTGAGCTGCCCATCTGCTTCCTTTATGACCAGCACTGCATCCCCAGGAAACAACATAGGTCTTGCGATAATCCAGGACACGATCACAGCCAGGTCGTTTGTAGATTCTCCCATGTAATTCCTCAGCAATGACATGAGAGTATCAGTAAAAACAACAATACATTTATCCATTTGAATAGCTTCCTCTGGAGGTACTGTCATTACAGGTATTTTGTCGGTGCTATCACTTGCTTCAGTTCCATCATCTGCCAGAACTTCGTCATTGTGGCCATAGATTGAAGTGTTGAACACATCATCCTCAATGGATACTTCCAGCAGAGGCAATCTAAAATGAACATGTGAGGCTAAAAATTACAATTTGGTTTAAAATAGGTATAGAACATAAGTGTACTGTGAATTAAATGTGTTTAAACTGAATTACTTTAAATTTGGGTATAAAGTATTCTATTCAAACCACTAAGGAGTAGAGAGATAAAACTCTGCAATGTGCAAAATTTCAGTTATAATTAAATGATCACATACTCAACACTTTCATTCATGCCGAGCACAGTTGAAGCTGTCAGGGTTGTATCATCATCACAGCTTTTGTCACCTTCGCTTGCGGTGAATGTCACATCCTCCATGATAGCACTTCTATTTGATTTAAAAAATAGAATATACATGAGAAAAATATATAGACTTTTTGGGACAACTATTTATCAAGTTTTTGTAGACAGGGTATTTGAATAAATGTTTACAGAAACTACTTTCAATAGAACACTTTACAAACCTTGTAGACGTGACAGATAATGGTGAACTATCAGGTAGAAAATTCCTTCTACTTGAGCAAGGCAATAACTCTGTGTGTGAAGCAATAACTATACAAGAATGTGGGTGGATAAATCATTGTAGATACAGTATATTGTTGGTGTACGAAACTTCGTCGGTACAATAACTCCCAGTCTCACTTTTGGTTATTTCACTATTTATTTCATAAAAAGAATTATAAATATAAAGAGAAACTAAAATATAATGTCACTTTGTCTCGATCGCGATGTAAAAACCATGCTCTTTGTTTTGTTGTGTTTCCACTACGTGTTTCCACTATATGCTAAATATTTCGGAATACTAACTTCCGCTCACACTCCCCTAAAATTATAATAACATAACTACTTTTACCTGCATAATGTTAACAACAATCTCCACAATGTCCGGGATTTCTTGGGCCCAATGTTTCTCAATGTTAATATATTTGCATAGTCTTTCAACACTAATCAGCAGTTAGACGTATCCGTTCACGAGCTGTCTCCGCCGCCTTTCGAGTACTTCTCAGTCACAGTTGTTGCGTTTCTTTTTGTCTTTGCTCGGGTTGAACTGCTTCGACAGCCTTAATTTCCAACAGGCATATGTCACGCCCCTCAATACACCGTCCTTGCCTTGGATGTGCCGCTCAACCTTCCCTTTCGTCCTCTCACCCCTATTGTTCTGGTCGCCGACCAGCAGTACGATCTCTCAGACTTCAGGAACCCTACCGACTCCTCTGTGTACTCTGTGGCTTTCCATAAGGCTGTGGACATACTCTTTCTTCCATCGTTGCCATACCTGTTGTCGTTTCAACATCAGTCTTGCATGAAGCTTGCTGACTTTATCACCTTCGATCTCAATATCCTCTACAGTATGGGAATTCTGGCCCCACATAATCACATTGGGTGTTAATACCTGCTCCTTGCCATTGTCACTCTCCATGTATGTTGGTGGGCGGTTATTTAGGTGTCTCTCAATGTCCATAACTACCAATTCCATTTGCTCGTAACGCAGATGTGATCTTCCCATCGTCTTGTATAGCGTTTTCTTTATTTCCTTGATAAGTCGTTCATACATGCCTCCCCACCAGGGAGATCTCGAGAGGTTAAACTGCCACCTTATCTCTAATTTCGCAAGGTGGTCTTGAAGGGATTCGCTTTTCCGTATCTCTCTGATCCAAGTGGTGATAGACTTGAACACAGACGTGTTATCTGATACAATGCGTTTCGGCCTTGTGCATCGCGTCACAAACGCGTTCAGCTTTCGTTGGAACTCTGCTGTTTGGGATTCCGTGACTTTGAGGTGAACGGCTCTGGATGTTGCACACGTAAAGATGATAATGTAGCATTTGCCTTCGTCTCTCTTCGATAACTTGTACCTCAAAGGTCCCGCAAAATCGATCCCTGTCGTCTCGAATGGTCTGCTGCATTCTGTGCGAAATCTAGGTAAATCTGCTGTCGCTGTCGCCCCATACAGTTTGGCTCTAAATACTTTACATCGGTTGCAACGGTTGATCACTTTCTTCACTTTCGATCTCAATCTAGGTATCCACCACTTTTCTCTGACTGCAGACATCGTATTTGCGACGCCAAGGTGATTGACTTGCTGATGAGCATGACGAATTAATTTCTCTGCAAAGTGTCCGTTTGGGATGAAAACAGGTGTTCATAACCATGGATCCTCCCATTGCACTTGAAGATGCCTGTGTCTTCGTCCTTTGCTAGTTTCCACCCTGGTGTCTCAAGATCGGAATCAACGTCCACTTGCACTCTTCGGACCCAACAATCCTCTGCGCTGGCGATCTCTTCGGTGGTAAGTGGACCACTCTTCTTCTTCGTCTTTCAATTCTTGGCCAGGGCATTATGCTTGAACCTTAGAACCCATGCCATCACTTGTAGGGTCTTCCAGTAGGAGCACTTCTCAAATAGAGCATCCCACTCGTCCGGCTCTCGCTTCACGGTAAACAGTGCCTCCGCTACTGTAGGCTTGAATTCTTCGCTTACTCTTTTTGTTGTCACAAGCTTCGGTTGTGTTGGCCACTCTCT